TTAATTTTTATTTTTCTAAAAAATGGATTTTTAAAAAATGTAAAATGTAGGCTGGCTTCTGAGGCAACTTAATTTTTATTTTTAAATGGATTTTTTAAAAAAAGTGTAAAATTTAGGCTGGCAGACTTAAAATATTGGGAAACAATTCTAAGTAAACCAGAAAGATAATATTTTAATGTCATTAATATTTTAATGTCATTTTTGGCTGTAGAGACCTATCACCTACCATGTCACTATTGATAAACTGTGGACTAAAAGGCCATTTTTTATATTTTCCCTCTTTTCCTGTTCAGTTTTGAAAGCCCCTGGTTTAAAAATGCAGAAATACCATTTTTTAAACCTGTTTTTGTAATTTGTGGGCCCAAGAATTTTGAGGCACTTTTGGTGAATTCAATTTGGGGAACAGAATGATTTCAGGGAGACACTTGAGAGTGATAGGTGTAAATGTGTGGGTTTATTTCATTTATTTTTATTTATTTAGTCACCACAGTGGCTCTGGGCAGTTAAATGGGATTCAGAACTCAGGAGAAGCAAGTGGGTAAAAATAACCCCTAATAATGAATTGTTATAAATAAATTATAAATCATAGGTGATTACTTAATACATTATAAAGTAATTCAGGATATTTGTTGATAGTGTTTTGCCTTCAATTTATTTTCTTGCATTTATCAAACCACTATAGCTACCCATCTCACGGATCTGACTTTGGGTGGTATACAGTTAAAGCAAGTGTGAAAAACAGCCTTAAATTTTCATTGTGTATTGGGAGTATTGGTGTTTGCATAGTCTTAAGATTTTCTCATGTGCAAATGGTGTCACTAGTGTGAAATTAACTTGGAAATGGGGCGAAGCATTTATAACATGCATTGGCCTTTCTAAACAAAAATGTATTTATTTATTTATTTTTGAATTGTCTCTCTCTCCTTTTCAGAAGCAAAAAACTGGCTGACTTGAGTGTGGATGAGTTTTTAACTTCAGGATTTGATTCTGACTTGGAAGATGATTTGATAGAAGATATTCCAAATTCTGGGGAAGATGAGAAAGGAAAGTTACCTTCAAAACTTGACAGCAAAAAGAAAGCAGGATGTAGTTTGATACCAGGGGAAAGGTGAGTGGGTGGATGGGTGGATGGATGGATGGATAGATAGATAGATAGATAGATAGATAGATAGATAGATAGATAGATAGATAGATAGATAGATAGATATGACTGCTGGATGGGTGGATGGATGGAGATAGATACCACTGGATGCATGGATGGATGGAGGAACAGAGGATGGATGGATAGATAGATAGATGATAGATAATGATGATGGATGGATGGATGAAGGGGTGAGAGGGAAGGAGGATGGATGAAGGATGGATGGTTGGATGGATGGAGGTAGCTAGATATTGTGGATGGAGGGATGGATATATAGACAGATAGACAGATATGATGGTGGATGGATGCATGAAGAGGTGAAAGGGAAGGATGGATGGATGGATAGATGATAGATATGGGTAGCTAGATATTATGGATAGAGGGATGGATAGATAGACAGACAGATGATGGTGGATGGATGGATGGGTGAAGGGGTGAAAGGGAAGGAGGATAGAAGGGTGGATAGATGACGGATATAGGTAGCTAGATATGGATGGAGGGATGGATAGATAGATATGATAGATCGATAGCTTTTAAACTATGTACCTAGGAATCTCAATTTG